GTCCTTCACCTGGAATGCTAGCACCGTTCTCCTGTTCCCCAGCGTTCGTAACATCCTTTGCAATCTTGAATTCCTCACAGTTCAAAAGGTGGAGGCGTTTTGCAGCGCTTGTCCTTGGTTCCGTCAAGTATCGTCGCCATACATGCACAGCAGGTCTCGGTAGCATTTCAAGTTTCGAGCACTGGATTCGCACGCTGAATAATCACGTTCCTTCGTACCCTCAAAGCAGGACTGTCCGCTCTAATCGGGCCTTCTGTCCACCCACGAAGCAAACCCCATCAACGGATTAAGGTGCCGACCGTGAACGTTTCCATGGAGCCCTCCCCTGACCTGTTGGTAAGTTCCTGGCACCCGGCATTTGCTCAAGGAGGTCGACCATTTTTGTTGCTGTCCAACCAGCGACCAGATTAATCGAGTCAGCCATTTTGACTTGAATTCAGTATGCTGCCACATGGTACGAACAGCAAAGCATTTCTTCACCGTCTGCGTCAAATTTGTTGAGACCAAATTACAGCGACGATGGAGCGGCGAGCGTCGTCTACCTGCGCTAGTTTCCTGTCCAACGACGGCAGCGACGACCTGGTCGTGCGCTTCCAGTGGGGTGGCGAGCCTATTGGCCTGGAGCTCATGCGGTCGCCACCTTCCACGGCAGTGCACACCGTTTACTGGGGCGCCGACCCGCTCGGCGTCACTTTAGGCATTGAGGAAACGTCTCGACGCGTAATTGTGACGCGCTCCACACGCGCCGACGTGAACACGGGTGACGTACTGCTTGAGGCGCATGGAGAGCCCATCACTGAAGCCAATTTCGCGCCGCGCATGGCCGTTCTCAAGCAGGAGCGCGAGGTGAGCCCGGTCCCGTTCGTGTTCGCGCCGCCTCCGCCTCCGGTGCACGTCAAGAAATGCGAGGGCGCGCTCAAAGAGGCCGGTGTGGACTCGAGCTTCGAGCTGCGGTATGTGGACGGTCGAGTCGTCCGCTACCTCGAGATGATGGAGCTGAACGTGCTCATCCGCAACTCACACAAGCCGTGCACGATGGCGTTCGTGCAGACCAAGGATAAGCAGTTCTACGGCGTATTGCAGAAGCAGGAGCAGCAGCGGCGCAAGCAGCAGCATACTAGCCAAGCGGCAGCAGCCAGTGCCGGACTGGCTTTGGCGGCGGCCCTCGTCGTTAACATGACATGAAGAGGGGGCACGTACAATGTATACCATATAGGGGTAGCGGAACGAGCTCGTTCCAGCTCGTAGGCTCAAGAGATGCAGCGTGGTGCTACAGGAAGCACATTGATAAATTGATTGTAAGGTGAACTTCTAAGCTTGAGTTCTTGAGAGCTTGATCGACAGGAAAACTTTTTGCTACCATGTAAATTTGATTTCTGTCTAATTTGCGACGTATGTCTAAAAACAGAGTGGACTATTTGAACTAATAGTTCCGGTCCATTTCTCATCACAGATTTGACACAAAATTCTACCGGTATTTGCCTTAATTAACAGCACAAATTTAAGTCATTTGTTCGAAAATTTGTCATTCCTCTTTTGCGATGCGTTTTTCTAAAAAAAAAAAGGCATCGCAAAAGAGGAAGACAAAATGCGTCTGATTTGTATCGGACATTCGTGTATCTTTGCCATATTCCAAGATGCTGAATGCGCATCATAGCATCCGGGGTGCGCTGGCCGCAGGGCGCTATGTATCGCAGCTCTGCGGCACCTCAGGGTTATTGCCAAGCGCCAGGGACTCCGCAGTTCCTTCTTGTGTCGCGTGGGGATCCTCCTCCTCGTCTTCACCACACCCTGGACATTTGACGATTATTTGCCGCCCATTCTCGCAGATGCCGAGTCAAGAGCCGTCCGAAGCCGCCAAGAAGCTGGAAAAGCGTAAGTTCTACAGGCCAAAGAAGCCCAACAATTCTGCCGGCGAGGCTGCGAAGAAGAGCGACAACCTCACAAGACTACAGGCGAATCCTGGAGACACCGACGTGGCATTGGAGGTTTTGGCATCTATCCAAAGCGCCAACGGCTCGGGGTTGTCGAAGGATGTGGCAAACATGCTAGTGAAGACACTCACTACTGCTCACAAATTCGACAGGGCTCTGTGGGTACTGGAGCTCTCTATTAAGCGGAAGATTTTGCTGATGACGCCACCGTACGCGAAACTCATGACTGCCTGCTACA